ACTGAAAGCAAATGTGAAAGCCATGTCCCTTTCTGTGTGTTTGTGTGTTTTGTTTGTTTTGGTTTTTGGTTTTTTCGGTTTTTGCACATGGCAACCTTTTCTTAGATTACTAAGGAGATTTTTACCAAAAGGTACATTATTCAAATTGAAATAAGTGTCAGGTAAAGTTAAATGATGACAGGATTCTGTGAATATGTGAAGCTTTTTCAGTTGTTTGTAGGAGAAGGTATCAGATTTGTGAATGAGGAATATGCTTCTTTCTCAGTTGTGGTTCTCAAAGCTCGCCTACACGAGAAAGCACCTTCTCAAAAGCTGTTTAGACAAAGGCTGGGGAAATTCATGACTGCAGGCCTCGTTGAGCCTGCAGGCACAGAATGGATCAGATCCAGGGCAAATTCTTGTCTCACACAAGTGCTTTATGGGGAAGATAAGAACTAGACTAGATACTTGAGAGTTAAGTGGAAGTCTCTTATAATGCTATTATTTTGTTAGGTGCTCAAGATATATACCATTTAATTCTTGAAAAATATTAAGACAGGGTAAATACTGTAAAAGATGTGGAGAGGTCATTTCCATCTGCCTGATGTTTACAGCCTGTTTTCCCTGGAACATTTAGTCCAAAGCATCTTTGCTACTTATATGACCTCAGAAGAAATCACAGGAAACAGACACAAATGGAATTACTAAATAAATTCAATACCAATCACAACTCTTAATAGATAATGTTTTGAAATAAATAACTGGCTTTAATCTTTTTTAAAGGTTCTGTGGCCTAAAAGAATATACAGAACCAGTATTTGCTACACTGATTTCGTGCAGGCTGGTGGCTCCAAGACAGGAAGGGACATCTTCTCTATATTTTTAAAGTCATCACCCTTTAGCAGTATTAAGATTGGTCATTATAAAGTGTTTCAGATTCAGATTAAAATGGAAATGTCTGTTCTTTGGAGGAGTATCTTTGAGATCTAAAGATAAATCTTAAAAATACTTTTTGAGGTATTTTTGATTAACGACAGGAAATTTTTTTTCCTGAAATAGTCATGGAATTCATCAGGGAGTTTTTTGCTACTTCAGAATGTTGCTGTTAGACATCAGTGCAACTTATGAGTTCACCGGTGTTTAAAAGCGGTGTTGAAATGTTTTCAGAGTCACAATGATGTTACAACTCCTTAACCACAAAGCAAGCCAAACTCAGTCGAAATGAATTCAGCAGTTTGTGGACAGAGAGCGAGCGGGGATGTGTTTCCGGTGCTTGTGGACGGACTGAGTCCAACAGTCCCAACAGCGAGGGAAATGTGGGGTTTCTGAGGGTTTCTCCAGCCGTTTCAAGACATCGATCAATACTACTTTCAATGCTTCCTCCAGGAATAAAGTCTATGGTTCCACCTGTAACTGGAAATGAACTATTAAATCATGTGGGGCATTTTGTGTGAACAAAGCTCTCTTTGGTGGACTGAAAATTGGAAAACTGAATTCTGGAATGTCCAAATACTTTTCAACTGTCTGACAGGGAAGAGGAATGTATTTCCTATCATGACGTTGGATGGGCCTAGAGGCTTTGGGTGCTTAGTAATCGAGTGTAGGACTTTTTATACATAAGGAATTTCATGATGCCGTTGAAGACATAAGCAAACTTTTGAAAAAATACTAGAAGGCACCGTAAGAAAGCAAGTACCACAGGTACTGGAGATAGCAACTACCCTTTCAGAGACAACTTGGCTCAACTGTGTGACAGGATGTGTTGTGTTGTTTTTTTTCTTTTTAATTCAAGATTAAATGATAGAAAAAGCTGTCAAACCTTTCTCAAAAAAAAAAAAAAAAAAAATCAACCCAAAGAAGGCTTGGCAGACTTTTTTATTAGTACATCTTTATTTGTTTTATTATTTGCCCTCCAATGTTCTTTTTTACGTTCTTCCAGAAAGGTTTTAACGCAAGTGGTTACTTGTAGAGGTTTGTCTGTAAAGCTGCAGACTAGAAGCTCGTGAGAAAGCGCACAAGTCACACAGGAAGTTCAATGTCATTACTTTATCAGCACGGGCACGCACCTCTGCCAAGGGAATCTTTTATAACAAAACAGTTCTCTGTCACCCAGAAGCAACTGGTCCTCATCATGGGAGGTCCTGGGCAGGCTTGACCGTTTCTTCGTCCAGGCCTTAGTACTCCACAGCAGGTGCTTGTGTTTCAAAGCTTAGTTTAGAAGCATTAGGTGGGGGGGTCTGGGGGGGCTCAGTCAGTTATGCGTCTGACTCTTGATTCTGGCTCAGGTCATGATCTCACAGTTTCCTGAGTTCGAGCCCCACGTTGAACTCTGCACTGACAGCATGGAACCTGCTTGGGATTCTCTGTCTCTCCTTCCCTCTCTGTCCCTCCCCCGCTTGTGCTGTCTCTGTCTCTCTCAAAATAAATAAACTTAAAAAAAAAATCTAAGAAACATTCGATGGATTTGCCAACTTTTTCTCCCATTCCGAGTGCCATTAAAGCCTTCACCAAAAGCCAATAAACCATCTGGTCCTTTGTGTTGCTGACATCTGGCTTTAACAATCTGATTCTGGATTTTAAACATCTCCACTTTCAGAATATTTAGTCACTCAACAATCATTATAAACTAAAAAGGAATCCCGATTTCTGGTGCTCCTTGAAAGGTCGGAGGCTCGTGTGCTGCCAGGTGTGAATTTCCACGGGATAGGAGGTCGTAACTGTCTCCCAGTGCTCTTCGTTGATAAGCCCTGCATGTCCTTGAGCATGAAGGCTGTCAACTCCTCGTATGGATTCCTTGGCTTACCCGGCGTCCTGGCACAAGGGTGTGGATGCTAGTGACAGACCCCTGGCTCTTGTTGATACCTGGCTTTTGTTTGTCTACTGAATATTTTCAATTTTATCTTCCGCTGGCATTTGATACTTAAATACCTAATTTGACTTCAAAGTAGTGGAACATCTGAGACGTTACCTGTTACCAGGAGCGGGGCCCTCCTTAGGCGTGGCCGCACCTCCTTGTTGGTTCTGTCCTCAGTTCCTCACACCCTGCAGCCTTGCTTTAAAGCACTGCTCAGATCCCCGTGCTTCCAACCCAAGAACCACATAAAGCAACAACAACAACGAAGACTCCGGGTCCGTTTTCCCTTTTGTAGAAGGAGAAGCACAGGCTAATTAATGTGTAGAGCCTTTTGCGACGCTTCTGTCCCATGGTTGTCTGTCCGACGCAACTTCAGCAGGATACTGGCTTGCTTTCTCCCCGGTGTGTTGGCTGTCTGTGGTCAGATTAGAGTAGTCAAAATATCTGCGTGAGCCCTGAGACCCTTCCCCTAAACGCCTGCCTCCCCTTTGTGGCAATTAAAATACCCCTTTGTTTTGCACTGGAATTGATGTTCTCTTATGTTCTTTCCTTCTGGGCAACTGGAGTTAAAATTACAATAAAACCTTGGTTTGCCAGCATAATTCATTCCAGAAACACACTTGTCATCCAAGGCACTTGTAGATCAAAGCGAATCTCAAGAACCATCGGCTCAGTTGTGATCACGTGACATTGAACGGCACGTACTACTCGTATCGGAAGACATCGCTCGTGTATCACGTTAAAATTTGTTAGAAATGTTTGCTCATCTTGCAGAAGACTAGCAGAATGAGTTAGTCACAATCCAAGGTTTTTCAGTATTTGCATTTCTTAAATAGATCAGAGTTATTGTAAAGGCATAGTTAGTAACGACTAATACTTTATGGTGGACACTTTTAGGAAGAGAGTTAGCAACTTGAGTGTAAATGACCGCATGTCATTTTCTCTCCCCTGTACAAAACTGCAGAACTCAAATCCTGATTATATAGAGATCATCAGGGTGGCATTATGTTGCGAATTTATGGATATATTGTCCTCCATGGAAACCATCGCAAATGCAAGTCTGGCAGGCCGACCTATCAAAAATCACAAATCCATCCTTCCTCCCTTCCTCCCTTCCTTCCTTCCTTCCTTCCTTCCTTCCCTCCCTCCCTCCCTCCCTCCCTCTCTCTCTCTCTCTTTCCCTCCCCCCCCCTTTTCTTTTCTTTTTTTATTTTCTTTCTTTTTTTCTGAAAGGAAGAAGTCAAAGTTAGGTGGAAGTTAATGTTAACAGACCATGTGGTACATCAAGTTCCCAGCTCTCCTTTTTAAAACGGTCAACATTTGCATCGGGATACAAGGGGAGAAATGTTAGTGGAAGACTGTCTCCACAGATGGCCGTAATATATTGCCTCACATAAAAGCAATATACAGCTCTCAGTACTGCAGAAGCTAAATCTTCATTTCTGTCATCTATTTCTTTGAGTTTAAGAGCTAAGTTTGGCGAAGTCATTATAGTGATTCATTTCTGGGATTTCCGTTGCACATGGAGTTAGCTGCCCAGAAGCCCCCCTAACTGTATGCCACAGCAGTGTGGCAGGTGGAAATTCACAAGCCTGCCTTCTGTGAGTAGGAACAACTTTTCAGTTTCCCATGACGCTTAAGATCTTGCAGTTAAAGAGAAAGATGGTGTGAAGGTGGGCGGGTCATGACTGTAGGTTACAGTCAGTGCTGGCAGTAAGGACCCTGAAGAGTGCCTTTCAGGCTCTGTGCCACACAGGCATGGCTGGTCCCTCCTTCTGGAGAGTTTGAGCTTGACAGAAGGAATGTGGAAGTAGGAAAAGCTTACAGCTCCGTGAGACGAGGCTCTAAGGCTTACTGGAGAATTCAGCATGCTGGCAGGCAACCTAGATTAGCAGACGAGAATTTGGAACTCTGAGGAGAAGAGACTCTGTATAATTATGTAAATAGATAAGGACAAATAAAATAATCAAGCATCACGGGATGACACATGGTTACCAAATAAGTCCAATCGAGACCCACCTGTGTTTTTCCCTTTTTAAATTGACAGTCTTCTTTTTCTTTCCAAGCTCCGGGAGGCATTTGATAACCTACACCATCTCGTCTTTATTTGATGCTAACCTACAGTCTGCCGTTACTTCTACTCAATCTTTCCCCTCCTTTCTCACAGGTTTTGACCTAGTAAAATGTGAGGATCCAGGAATCCCTAACTATGGCTATAGGATCCGAGATGAAGGCCACTTTACTGACACTGTAGTTCTGTACAGCTGTAACCCAGGCTATGCCATGCATGGCAGCAACAGTCTGACCTGCCTGAGTGGCGACCGGAGAGTGTGGGACAAGCCCCTGCCTTCCTGTGTAGGTGAGTTGGGAAGTTGGCCTCCTCACTACACAAAAGCATACCTGAGAGCAGGAGCCCCACGGTGCTTCGGAAGAGGGCAGGGTTCTTCTGCTCTCTCTGCAGTGTAGGTTTTTATGTATTTCCAAGATATGCATGTCTTTTTGTTGTTTCTTGTTTTCTGTAGGAAAGGACGATTTCCTGGTACTGTTTTACTGAGGCTGTCTGCACAGAATTGCTATTGGAATTATAACTCAAGTGTTTCATTGTTTTATACTCTCGACTTTAATTACGTAGCAGATTATGTCTTTCCATCAGGGTGATGCTTGGGAATAAGTAAAGGAAACAAATGATGGAGACGGACGAATGGGATTTTGTTTGGTTGTGTGTATAAGGTGGACGTGATGGTTTGGGGGTTTGTTATTAAAAGAGCTGTATGGAAATCCGTGGGCCTGGAGTGAATCCGCTCCTGTTTCCCTGTCTCTCGCAGCGGAGTGTGGTGGTCATATCCATGCTGCCACGTCAGGGCGCATCCTGTCTCCCGGCTACCCTGCTCCCTATGACAACAACCTGCATTGTACCTGGACCATCGAGGCCGACCCAGGAAAGACCATCAGGTACCTGTTGTACTTTGGTTTCCGCGATGCAGTTTTAGAATACGGTCGTGTCTTCTATATTTGTAGTGGAGATAATAGTACATCTGTTATTATCCATGACTAGATTTAAGTTTGTGAGTCAAAGAAAAACACGTAATGGTGCGCATACAGTTTTGGTTGGCTCACACGCTTACTTTGGTGTTCCTTTAAGAACTTGTGTTAAGCCATCTATAAAAAAGAGAAAAAGGAAGTAAAGGTATCAGTTAGCTTTTGCTGCATAACAAACTGGCCACCAAAGTTCAGTTGCATAAGACAGTGATTTATCTGCCCTTGACCTTGTGGGTTGCCTGGGCAGTCCTGGGCTGGGTACGTTTGGCAGGGTGGTCCAGGATAGTGTCACTCAGGTGTGCACATCTCAGCTGGACGTGTCGGAAGGCTGGGGCCTCTCGATACCAGACTGGTGTTTCTTCAGTAAACTAATCACGATGGAACTTCCCCGGCAGCAAGAGAGGGCACACTTTTCAAACTTCGCCTTGCGTTACATTTGCTAACATGCCATTTGTCAAAGCAAAGCTCATGAGCAAGATAGAGTTTGAAGAAATACACTCCAGCCCTTAATGGAAAGAAAAGCAAAGTCATATTGAAAAGGGGCTTGCATACAGGGTTGGGGAGAATATGTGGTCATTTGCCATATACCGAAGTTAAGTTTGAGGTAAACCAGGAAAGCATTTCAATCTAAAGTTACACATATAAATGAAAATATTTACAAATCACTGAAAATTGGGGGACCTGGGTGTCTCAGACGGTTAAGCTCAACTCTTGATCTTGGCTCAGGTTTTGATCTCAGCGTTGTGAGTGGAGTCCCATGTTCGGCTCTGCACTACATACACATGGAGCCTACTTAAAAAAAAAATCACAGAAAATTGTGCAAACATTTTAAAAGAAAATACTCTGTTTTAATTGATGGGTCTTGGTTATTATGGTAATCTTTTTATACGGATAAGTAAACCAACGAAAAGTAATCTTTGCAAAGCAAGTTTTCCATGTTCTGGTCAGGCCATGTCAAAAACCACAGCACGTAAATCAAAAAGTAATTTCAAAATAAGTTGTTTCTTGATCATAGTTCTCATGAACAAGAAGAGAACACAGTCCTTTGCAGTGCTTTGTAGAATCCTTTTACTGTGTGTTCATTTATTTTTTTCCCTTTCATCGTAGTTCTTCTGAAATCTCTGTACACAATTTACTGTCTAAAAATTCTGCCCCACCCTGGGGCGCCTGGGTGGCTCCATGAGTTAAACATCTGACTCTTGGTTTCAACTCAAGTCACGATTTCACGGTTTTGTGGGTTCAAGCCCCGTTTCGGGCTCCTCTGTGCTGACAGTGCAGACCCTGCTTGGAATTCTCTGTCTCCTTTCTCTGCCCCTCCCCGACTCTCACTGTCTCTGTCTCTCTCAAAATAAATAAAGTTAACAAAAATTAAAAAAAAAAAAAGATGAACAATTCTGCCCCACCCCTAACAGTCCTAATCCACAGACGTCCAGTCCATTCACTGCCTTGTGCACCAGGAAGACCACGAGAGACTGAGTGGCCAATTCAGCTCCTTCTTCAAATATATGAAGTTGAATCAAGTGGGAGATCAAACACAGAAAGTTCTTTATGGGGCTAGTGAATGGACAGAAGCATTCATAAAGCACTGATTTTTTTTTTGTCCTTATTCATAAAAGGCACCCTAGCAGACTTAGTAATGTGTGTAAAACAGACATAGACCCATCATGCTGCAATTTTATAACTTAGTGACAGTAAATGGGAATGAAAGCCGAGGGGAGATGCATATTGTATCCTGTGATGCTCCGTTCCCTTCATCGGACATCCATCCTCTGAAACCCACAGCTCTCTTTCACACTGTGACACGAACATCTTGCCGTCTTTTTAAAAAATAATTTTTGAAGTTTATTTATTTATTTTGAGAGAGAGAGAGAGAGTGAGAGTGGTAGAGGGGCAGAAAGAGAAGGAAGGACGGAGAAAGGACATGAGAGAGAATCCCAAGCAGGCTAGCTGCTGTCAGTGCAGAGCCAGATGTGGGGCTCGATCTCAGGAACCGTGGGATCATGACCTGAGCCAAAACCAAGAGTCGGACGCTTAACCGACTGAGCCACCCAGGCGCCCCGAGTATCTTGCCATCTTAAACTAACATGGCACAAACTATTACCACTTTCAAAGCCTAACAAAAAATAATTCTCATTACTTAAGAGGAGCAAGAGAAGGCATGTCAATCACATATATAATGCAAGATGTCAGTTTATAATAAATGATGTAAAAATTAACTTGTGACCTTAATTAAGATAAATGGTTAATTAGATAATTATTGATCTACTGCGACAAAAATAAGATATATTAGAGTAACAATGTAAGAATCTGTAATCTTTATGGAAATCAATGCACTTTTCCACTGAACTAAATAAAAGTAAATATTATTTCTTAACCTTTAACTCCTGAATGCTTGACCTGAGTATTATAAAAGCCACTATACTAGTTTTTATTTTGAAAAATTCTAAGGATATTTTATGATTCCCAAAATAACTTGACGTAAACAGGATATATTTTCTTTTAGGGAGATTTCAAATTTCTGTATCTCTTATGAGTTCCTTTGTGATTTGTTTCCTAAGAATTAAAATAAGCATTGTTCTCCTAAATGCAAACCAGGGGATGAATTCATTCTTGGCAGGTGAATCTAATACTTCATTAGCATTTTAATAAGAAAAGAGAGAAGAAAGTAATAAAGAATGAGTTGAAGTAATAACAACTATAGAACTTTTATGTCATGGACTGGGCTCTGATGTTTAACCATTAGGATTCTAGAAAAAAAGACATTGAATACACTAATTTGTTGTTCTGGGGATGTTGTCCTTCTCTTCCATGTCTTTCAAATATGAGAGTTTACTTTAGCAAATTTGTAAACAGATCTTTTTGATTTAAGCCATAAAGTCCTTCCTAATAAGGAAATCAAGAGGGAAGCATCAGTATTTATAATTAATTTGCTCAATCAATGTTCAGCTTCGTCTCAAGATGTTTCTGGTGATTCCTCTTCGTTAAGAAAATATATATTGATTTTGGTGTGGCACTTTGGAAAACAAACATAATTAAAAGTACATGATGTACAATTTTAGGCTTTAAATGGTACTAATACTCAGAAAGATAGGGTCCAGTTTTAGCTTTGATATTTGTTGGCTAGTGTCTAAGCCTTAGTTATTCCACTGGTAACTTAGCCAGTATTAACTGAACTGTTTATTTGATAATGAAGAATACATCAGTCATATAAACATGAGTTCGGGGATTAATTTAAGTATTTAAAAAATTCTTCATATAAATGGAATTCATTATTATACATTCAGACTCTGATTTATTTAATGTAAATGTTTTTACTCTCAAAGAATGAATAAACAACAGGATCCCAGAAATTATTTAAAAAATGGTTTCAACACACTTCAGGGCCAATTATTGTTGGACCCATTTTGATTTCACTGAAGCCCCAAGCAATTTCTGATTGCCTATTGCATAGCTTTTTGCTCAAGGCAATAGATGACCCCTGAATGGTTATTGTTATAGGGCACCTGGGTCTGGAAGAGGTTTGTAATTTTAACATATATTCTATAAAGCAGTTACCTGAGCTGAATTTAATTAAAAGTCTAATCACAAGACATTGTAGTACATGTAGCCACATTTAGTGTTACATGTAAACATTTCTCCAAGAGACTCTGTGTATATTGCTGAACACAGCTGTAATTTATATAATAAAGATAACAGCACTATAAACATCTTCAGCAAGCAGCATCGAAGGCCACATTTTACATAAAGACGTGTATATTGTTCGTTGGTATTAATTGCCTTTCTGCAAGTGTAATTGTCTGGAAAACTCACTTTGAAGGTATTTCTGTGCCTAGTCGTTCGCAGGAAATTACATTGGGAGGTATGGTTAAGGGGAATTCTTTGGGAGAAGCTCGGGCAGGATTAGAAACATCAGAGGCATATCAAAAATTTACCACGATTGTCAAAACTGTCCCTATCCAGATTTTACAGAAAGTGAAATATGGGTTGCTGGACCTCACCTCAACCTGATGTGCCCTGGACTTGTTTCTTGGCTATCCCGTGTGATAGAGTACAGTGAGGTCTGGCTTGGAATTGTAGGGATATTTTAATTTATTTTTGACCAGACTTCAAAATCCCCATAAGCAATAGAGTCAAGAGGAATGTGGTGGGCCAGTGACCTCCACTCATGAGACAAGTCTGTCCGGTCTCAATATTGAGCCTTAGCCAATGTGCCGGGAACCTGAGTTGGAAGCCTTTTGAGGACATAACAGCTGAGCATGGGGCCAGGAATCAACACATCTGAGGTTTCTCCTTTCCTATTTAGACCACAGATTATACTTATCTGTTGTAGACAGTGTGAGGAATTCGCCAGCCACAAGAACTTCAGCCATCAAAATGAGGAAAGAGACCATTAGTACTGACAAGTCTGCAGTGTCTTGGCTGGCTTCCAGTCCTTAGCCTGGAGCCACGGGGACAGCCACGGGGTTTAGCGTACCTCCCCAGCCACTGAGGAGCCAGTAAGAGAGAGGC